GGTTTAGATATCTAGGGGGCTGATATGTCAAAGACTGCCCTTTGGGGACCAGCAGGTGGCATGGTGGCAAAGGTGCTGGATTCCCACATAGTTGACCATGGTTCAAGTCCCAGACCTAGCAGCTTAAAAATCATGCCAGGGTTGGGGAGGAGTGACTGATAGGTAGCATAATGGTTAAGGTGCTGGACTCCCAAATGGCTAAGCATGGTTCAAGTCCTGGACCTGTGGCTTGCTTTCTCACCTTCCCTTTCTCTGTCTCTCTCTGGCCAAATTATGAAGTAACAATAATGAATAAAATAAAATAATTCTTTAAAAAAAATCATGCTGAGTTTGTGTGTATGTGTACCCCAAATCCTGAGAGAATGGAGAAGGGATTGCAGTGTGGCTATCCTCTGTAAGGAGTGATTTCTCACTTTATCTCTCAACTGTCTCTCTCTGTCTCTCCCCTGCAAGTGCACATACCCTATGGCTAAAACCTTAAAAAAAATTAAAAAAAAATTTAAAAAGACTGCTCTTTATGTTATGGTGTTATGGAGAACCAAAGTATGCCAACCCAAAATACATTTCCTTGGCATATTTTGAGATGACTATTCAGCAAGACCACAGGTAGAGAATGAACTTTTTAAAAAGTGCCAACCTTTTGTAAAAGAAATCTACATCATGTAAGTAAGGGAAGGATACCCCTGAGGCTACTGCTTACCTACCTAGGTACAGGAAAAAGGGGACTAGACATCTGGCATCTGGCCCTGGAAAACAGGGTCATCTTGGCATCTCTCCCTTCATTCCTTCAGAGCTTACCTCTCAAGGTAAGCTTACCTTCTACTCAATTCTGTAGGATATGAAACCTTCAGGTAACTGGCTCTCCTCTGAGTTCATACTTTGTATGGCATCTGTGCATAATTGCAAATAATAAATTATTGTATGTTTTTTCCTGTTAAATCGGTTGTCATTTTAATTCTTAGACTAAAGATTGTTAAATCTTAAGAGGAAAGGAGAAAATGTACATCTTCCCTATAGAGTTCAACAGCATCATTCTTTTATGGGCCTGTAGCTTCATTTTCTTTTCCATGAAAGATACTAGGATCGTTTGTCCCTTAAATACTCATGACTCTAGGTATAGGAAATGACTTGCAAAACTGTATGTACCCAGTG